TTAGGGCAAGAGATCGTCACAACCGGGTAACGTGAGTTGGCGCAGCGATTATTAGGTCACGTTTTTCCGACCTTACACTACGAAACTTAGAATACCAAAAACAGAGATTTTGATAACAATTGTAAACGAAAGTAAATACACTCTCACAAATGTTACAATGTATTTTAATGGGACCAGTATTAATCCGGCAAGCCTTAACATTGCCCCCTTTACGGATCCTTCTAATGTGTAAGTATAAAGCTGAGTTTGATAAAGTTTTATCTTTTTTATATTTATTATCAACGCATATTATAAATTAGTCGTTTTGATGCCACATTACACGCAACAAAGGGGATGCTCTGTTATCAGATTGAGGGAACGCCAAATTACCTACTAATAAGTTGGAAAGTATCATTTTTTCGCAAAAACGAATTTTGTGTCTATATTTGTGCAAACCGATCTCCTGAAGAACAAAAAGAAAAGAATATTTTTCGCCAACATATACATAAAGAGTACAAAAAGGCTCCAGATGAGATTATTCAGACTGGCTATAAAGATTTTAGAGTTAGCGCTACCATGTCTAGCGGGTAAGTTTTTCATATACGTCATAGTTATATTGGATCAATTAAACGATGAATTTACAGTTCTTCGGCAGAAATGAGGGTTCATCTAACAATCCCACGAAGGAGATGGTTTAGTTTACCATGGTAGTCTATCCTAATGCCATATTTCGTTAAGCAACTTTCATTAAAAATTTTTTATTGAACGACGTCACGTGGATGTGATTATCGTCATTAATATGAAATTGTTTAAGTTTATGCTAAGGCCGTTTGAATTTGAAGATTAGTTTAACGTTCTTTTTTTCATATTTGCTCAGAGGGGGAAAAAGTACACAAACATAAAAATTAAAAGAACCTAAATTAGGTCCAAATTAGGTTCAAATTGTACCTAATTTAGGTTCGTTTTAAACAAAAAAAAATTTTTTTTTTAATTAATCTAATTTTGCTTGCTTATTCAAATATAATCAAAATAATAATTATTTTATCATATCATGCTATCAATTGTGCGGATTAATCAATTGAATAAATCTTTTTATAATAATACAGTATCAAAGCATCTTTATAGTTGTATTTTTTGAGCGAGTCTTGATGACGCTTAAAGCATGGTGCAGATATACGAATTAGAACACAATCTACCTCAAGCTTGTAATCGAGCTTCATATTTTTCGACGCCATTCCTGTGCAGGTGATCCAAGAGAGAACTAGTCATCTTATTTATGAATATTACTGAAAAATAAAGATAACTAAATACAGTAAATATTTTGATACAATTATTTACAAATTGAATGTTAAAAATTATTTCAAATTCTGTTATTAAATCAATTATATAAAGCTTTAATACATTTAATCAATTAAAGTGAATCAATCATTATGTGGATTTGACATATATTCAATGTCAGCTTGCAATTCTTCTAAAATCTGTCACCTAAAAAAGTTTTTTTTTTTTATTGAATTATGTACTTTCTTTAAAATACTATTATTACTTTATAAAAATAAAAGTTAATTGTGAAAAAGTAATAAAGAGAAAGACAACCAAATGACAATGGTAATAATAATAGCTATCAGACTATAAAATGAAAAGCTTTAAATGAGAAAGAAAATTTTTAATTTTAGACCAAAACCTAAAGTGGGCCAACTTTAAAAATATTGGCCAGCATTAGATTAGTATACTATAAGTTATATAAGTTATATAAGGTAAAATCTAATGTAAGTTAGAATAAGTTATACAACTCTACTTATGCCTAATTTTGCCTAGAATTATACTTAATTTTGCTTGAAAAATATATTTTAGAATTAGAGTTATACCTAATTTTGCCCGGAATTATACTTAATTTTTCTTGAAAAATGTATTCTGGTTATGCCTAATTTTTGCCCAGAATTATACTTGAAAATATATTTTGATTTTGCCCAGAGTTATTGCCTAATTTTGCCCAGAATTATATTTAAATTTTGCCTAAAATTTTGTGTCCAGAACTATACTAATCTTGCTTGGAATTATATTTAATTTTGCAAAATATATTTTGATTTTGTCTAATTTTGCCCAACACTGTTAATTAATTAATTAAAAAATTAAATTAATTAATTAAAAAAATCCTAAATACAGCCTAATAAATTTGAGCTATCTGGGCTGAACGTTAAGATTTATCTGTGCATGTTTCCTGAAAAAATTTTTTATCAAGATAGTCAAATCGTAGATATAAATAAATTTTTTAACGAAAACCTTTTCATTTTCCAGTAAAAAGGTGGTGGAGACTAGTCAAAACTTATACAAATGGACATACTGTAGATATACAACCACCCAAATGTTTAATTCTGGTCAAAATATGTACTATATAGACTCCCATAAACACTATTTTTCTTATTGTTTCCTGCAAACTATCAAAGTCTGGTCCTTATCGTAACGGGCTGCATTTTGGTTGATTGTAATTGGAAAAGATCTGTGAACGAAGATTATACAGAGTTAACATATTGTACTTGTATGCGACACAACAAATTATAAATTACGGTATTTGTAGTAAATGTGTCAGCCCTGAGGTTAAATGTAACCCTTAAATGCAGCATCTCCCCAAATGCAACACCTTAAATGCAGCATCTCTTCAAATTTAACCCCCTAAATACAATATCTCTCTAATTGCAATCTTTAACACTGGCAGGAATATATACTAGACTCTTATAAATACAAATTTTCATATTATCCTCTAAATGCAAGCTATCAAAAGTCTGGTCTCTAAGGGTTGCATTTAAGGAGGTTTGACTGCATTTAAATCTACGTAATATACTGTATGTACGTAATTTGTTGTGCATTTAAAAGATGCACGATAAAATTTAATAATTGAACTTTGTTTTTCGAATTATATGCATTTAAAACATGTATATATGTACCCATTTATATCATAATATGTTGCAAAAATATAAATTGAAAGCATCTATTATTTATCCCACAGATTTTTTTTTTTTAAAGAGCCTAAATAGCATTATTAAAATGGATAGCTGATTTTTGATATTTAATTTTACTCTGCTCCTCTTTATTATCATTGTTTCAGGTTATCAATTTCCAAATACGAAGAGAACACATAAAAAAAACCACAATGATGCCCATTCCAAATGTCCATGCACTTAGGGATGGTAAATGACCAGGTCATTTGCCTATTTTGTAAATAATCTAAAATGACCTTAAAATAACTGGTCATTTAGGGTTATTTAAGTTTGAGTCATTCGCAAATGACTCATGACCAAATGACCTAGATCATTTACAAATGACCAAGATCATCTCACTAATGCACAGTCACGTGATAGCCGGTAAATGACTCATGACCAAATGACTTAGGTCATTTACAAATGACAAGGTCATCTCACTAATACACAGTCACGTGAAATGCTGATCAAATAAAAAATTTGCGCATATCGACTTTTTTTTTTTATTTTTCTTTTTAACTTTTTAATTAAAATTTTATTACTACGTATGATATAATTATATGACTCATTTAATTAAAACTTAAATTCTACATAGCGATGACGAAAATTGGACTTTTGAATTTTTTTTTATAAATATATAAAAAGTTTTTTTTTTATTTATTTTTTATTTATTTATTTAATTTATTTGAACCTTGTGTGATGAACGAAAAAACCATACCTAAACAATTCGAACTTTGTGCGATGAATGAAACAATTATACACGAATAATTTGTTAATGCGAATGCGATTGAATTTACTTCCTCTTCAATTTTGACGTCTCAAGTTGAACTTGAATCTAACATACTCAAAGAAATAACAAACCATCCTCCAAATCCTCCAAATCCTCCAAAGTGATTGAAGAAGAATCCTTACTGGAACAAACTTACTGAAACTGTAACAAATGACATTGCCGGCATTGCCAAACTTCCTATTCAATGGAAACAAGTTACTCTACAATTAAGTCTCATTTCAAATATAATTATCCTGAAAGGTTTAACAAACTAAATGCTAATATAAAGGTAAATTTCGAACTATATAATGCCGAAATGGTTATACAAATAAACCAATATCTCTTCAAATGGGATTATTACAAACCAGCAAGCATTTTCTATTGTTGAAAATAAGGATTATTAATAAATTAATTAACGCCACGTTATTCTCTTCTATCAAGAAAGTTTGTCGCACAAAGTATTGAAGAGAATTGTAACCCACTGGATTTTCTGGAAAACACAGATTTGCAAGATGGCTTGGGACTACTTGGTTGTACAAGCAACAAGTGTTCCCAGCAAGAAAATGTTTTTTAAAGCAAAGAATACGATCTGCACATTACGCAATCAATTATCCGAAGAGAATGCTTGTGTAAGTTTTTGCTTAAAAATTTGGTATGATTCGGGTGTTACTAATTGTGTGGGTCAATAAATTAAATAAATAATACATAGTTGCAATAAAATATTTTTTTTATGTACTTAATAAATAGCGATAGTTCATGTATTTAATAATAGATACAGTAACATATGTTTAGCAAGCATAATCAATCATAAACAGAGTTTGAGACCCAGTTTATCATATGTGCTTTGAAACAGTGCTTAGCGAGTTTGCGAGCACAAACTAACCAGTTTAAGCAGAATAACATCACTAGTTTTAAATTTTAAATTATAAATTTAAAAAATAGATTCTCTGGTAACTTTGAAACCCTTAATATCATTTTTGTAACACAACATTAGCATTAGTCAATCCTTGAATTATTTAAATGTTAACTTCTTTTCAACGGTTCAAGTATATATTATACAAATTTAGGGGCTAGAGGTGCGAACTGAAATTCAAAAAGGAAATTAAAACAATAATTGATCAATGATATTGTGCAGTTTTCTTTTTGAGTTTTAGTTCGCACCTCTGCAAGGGACAGCAAGCCTTTATTTAGTTTAGTAACTTTTATATCATTTGATATATATAATTTACTAAACTAAAAAAATACATTACAGCAATGACAGAATTATTGATAGCATAATATTCGTAATCAAACAATGAAGATACTAGTTCTAATTCCAAAACAAATTATAAAGTAATTTTACCTGCACAAATTTGTGTAGTGGGCGTTAGTCAAATTTGGAAAAGAAGGGCATCATTACTGCATTATTGATAAGTAAAAGGATGGTACGAATTATGCAATATCGATATGGAAAATAATAATGTAATAGTAGTAATAATTATTAATCGTTTTGTTTTCTGAGAACTCAAAATTATACAATCAAATCTTTATTGAAGTATAAACTCATGAAATTATAAATAAAACATTAAAGAAAATGTGATTAGTAATGCGAAAAAAAAGAAAGAAGATATTACCTAATAATAAATAGTAGAGCATCAATAAAAAATATAATTAGTAATTCTAAGAAAAAGAAAATTGTAAAAGGTACTTCGTCAATGAAATTTGAAATATGGGGTGAGTCAATAGAAATCAAGCAAATTTTTTATAATAAAATTTTTTTCTAACTTTAAACAAGAATAACTTAACAAAAACTTGACCAAATTTAATAAAAATTTTTTTAAATAATTTTTACAAACTTGTAGAATTAATTTAAAAAAATTTTTATTGAATTTGATCAAGCTTTTGTTTAGTTATTCTTGTTTAAAATTTTAAAAAAACTTATTAAAAAATATTTGCTTGGTTTCTATTAACTCAACCTCATATTATGAAAAAAGAAAAAAAAGGAAAAGCGTAAAAGGCACTTTGTTAATGAAACTTGAAATAAGGATATTGTGAGGAAAAAAAAAAAAAAAAAAAAAAAAAGGAAAAGCGTAAAATGAAATATTTTGTACAAAATTCTGGGAGGAACTCTTCATCCCTAATTCTAGTATATATAGAAACTAAATTGTTATACCAAATTTTTATAAAAACTGAGGGTTCGACCTTTATATTTTTCATAAATAGGTAAAAAAAAATACAATTTCCAAGAATTTTTTTATTTGGTTGAACCTGATAATCCAAAAGCAAACAAAAAGGCAGTTTGCCTTTTATATGTACGAAAATATACCTTACCTGTTGCTCTCACAAAGCCTGAATGTTCTGTTTCAAACAAGGCAAAATTATGTCGGAGCCATCTTCAAAATTGCGAAAATTTTAAAGCTGATTATAATGAGAATGAAGTTTTGGAAATTCTTTCGCGGTCTGTTCCTGAAGATGCTAGAAAAAAAATAAAAGATAAGATTAACAATAAGCTATAATGATTACCTACATGGTACCAAAAATAATTCTGAATCTGAAGATGAGAGTTCTGAAATATCGGCACCCACTTCGTCATCTACTAACAATCCTGCTTTAAAAACAACAAAGCAAGCAGTTTTTGCACATTATGTTGCACGTTTATTATCTGAGAAAGATAAGTTGTACTTTGAAAACTTAGTACTACGTATGGTTGTGTTAAATGGTCTTTCTTTTACCTTTACAGAGAATCAAAAAACAAAAGATGTGTTTAATTTTATTATTCCAACTTTAAAATTACCTAACCGACGGGCAATAAGTGATCGAATTCTTCCAAAAATTTCAAAGAATTTAACTAAAGAAATTTTACAACAAGCATGTGCAGATAAAATTGGCATAACTGCAGCCTTTGATAGCTGGACAAATATTAAGCGAGAGCATCTCTTTGGTATTGTTTTGATAACATCTCGGGTAAAGCTTTAATTTGGAATGTATGTGATATTAGCAACCAATGGTCAAAAACCGAAAATGTGAAACTTCATATCGAAAATATAATGAATGATTCAGATAAAAAAGGTATAAAAATTAACTGTTAGGTATCAGATTCTTCTGGTGAATATGCAGCTGCAAGGCAAGTATTAAATAAATATAAATATATATATATTATGCAGAAACTTAAATTTTTAAATGTGCAGTAACTGTTACGTAGTTATTAATAGTAATTATATCATTACTATGTACACAGTATTGCATATTTAAGTTTTTGCAAAGTATTTAAATATTATAAATAATACAATATAACAAATTATAATACTTATAGACGACAATTAAGAGTCGAGCATCCTGATAAAGTTTTTTTGCTATGTATGGCACATCAAGTTAACCTTGTTATTGGTGAGATTTTTAAAGAGTTTAATGCATACAAAAAAGTGTTAACAAATACAATACGTATTGTAAACTTTTTTCATATATCTTCATATTTCACTGGATTATTACGAGATGAACAAATATCATGTTATAAACAAACTATTTCCCTTGTTACTCCAGCCGAAACACATTGGAACAGTTTTTATTTTTGTTTTCATTCAGTTTTAAAAACTGAGGCTGTACTTAAAGTAAGTAATTAGTATTATCAGTTATTGTCTTATTATAAAAAAATTATATATTTAATAATTATATTAAAAATTAGACCTTGGTCACAAAGTTTTTACTTGCAAGAATTGGATTAGTTAGTACTTCTCGAAGTGGATTTTCACGACAACGATTTATGTCAGAAAATACAGATACAAACAAAACACTTCCGCATGATATTACATTAATTGTACAGGATTCTAATTTTTGGAACCAACTTTATAAACTTCAAGATTTGCTATTTCCCCTATGTTGTGTGCTAAATAAACTTCAGAAAGACATCACAAGGCTACACGAAATTGCATGCTGCTTTGGATGGCTTGCTAAGGTTTTTGCGAACTATAAGAATGACCATTTTTCTGATCATATAGTGACACGTTTAGAGAATCGTTGGGCTCAGTGGGAACAACCCTTACTTCTACTTTTAATTATTTTGCATCCAAAATATCGACTTTCAGTGTTTTCTTCTAGCAGTTCTAATCTTTTTTACACGCATTTTGCTCAATGGTTAAATTACTACTATCACATATGGTTTGGAAAAACACCAACACACATTTTATAGAAATTTTAACTATATCAGAGAGAAGAATTTCCTTTTAATAAAGAATCATACAATCAATTTGTCAAAAATATTTTGATTTTTGGGATATGGCAAAAGGCATAACACCAGAATTAGCTCGATTGGAATTACAACTATTCGCTATGTGTGTTAATTCAGCTTCGGTTGAATAATTATGGTCTGCTATAGGTTATTTACATACAAAAAACAGAAACCGCTTGCCAGTATGTAATATAAAGTTTTTATGTTTTATTTTTAATTTTACATTACTTATTTAAATTGATCAAAGTTTGAAAAGATGCTGGTGATGAGTTAATTAAGAAGTAATATATTAATTAAGCGAAAATATAAAGAAATTGAAGCAGCTGAACAACAGTATAAACTAACCAATATCGCAGCTCCAATTCAACCTCATAATAATGAAAATAGAAATCAAAAAACAACAGAATCATCACCTGTTATAAGTGACAATGAAATTAACATATCAACTACTAATATTCCATCGGCGGAACCAAGCGAATTTCTTGAAACATCTGATGAAGATATAGTTGATAAAGAAACAGAATATTGGTCACACATAATTGAAAGTTGGATAGAAATGGTAGATGTTAAAGGTTGTCTAGAAAGTGGGGAAGCTATAAATAATAAAACGATTGAATTTGAATTCAGTAGACATATTAATCATCTGGCAGACGATCCACAGGCGAAATGGAATTTATTAGAATTATTTAACGATTTATTGGAGGCCCCTATTTCTTTTATTTTTTAATAAAAAGAAGACAATTTAAATTTATATCTTAAATTCTAACCTTAAATTATGTTAATTATTTTTGAATTTTTTTATAGCCGTTCAATAAATAAAAAGAAAGATTAGTTATATAATTAGAGCAAAAAAATCAATTTATCTTATTGTAATAATTTAGTTTAATAGCAATATAACTTTTGAAAGTAAATACGTGTAAGTGATTGAAAGTAAATGAATAAATTGAATAAATTGTAAAATAATAATAAATACAGCACGAAAGGTTTCATTATTTTTATACGCTCTAAATCTACATAGTATCTAACGCTATATTTTAATTTTAGTTCCTACCTTTTTAATAACACTAGCAAATGTAATGCTTAACATTATTCGCATTAGTAGAATCTTACAATTATTTAATTGAGAAACAAAATTTTACTTCTTATAATAATAACACAAAGTGAATATCCAGCAGTAGTGCAACTATTTCTTGTCTTCATAAACCACTCAATAGCTTTTGTTCTCTTTTTTATAACATTCTAACCTTCGTATTTTCCAACAAAATATTTATCCAAAGAATTTTGATTTTAGCATTAAAAAATTTGAAGTTATTACTTTATTCCTATTGGATTTGTCTTTAACGTTAGCAGTAATTCTCAACATGCATATTTGTTTGGACACGGGTTACTAATCTAGTTATGTATATACTGTACGTACATATGTACATACGTCGCAACTATTTCTTGTCTTCATAAACCACTTAATAGCTTTTGTTCTCTTCTTTATAACATTCTAACCTTTGTATTTTCAACAAAATATTTATTCAAAGAATTTTGATTTTAGCATTGAAAAAGTTGAAGTCATTACTTTCAGTTCCGGTATTTCTAAAAAAGAAAATCAGAATTGTCTTTAACGTTAGCAGTAATTCTCAACATGCATATTTGTTTGGACACGTACTAATCTAGTTATGTATCTGGTATGTACATACGTACGTGCGTACAGTGCAATTTAATTAAGAAATAATGTATTGAAAGTAATTATCAATCTCAATAAAAAGAATCTAGGATTTTCAACCTCTTTGTATAGAAATACTGTAATACATCAAGAATAATAATATATATTTAATAGCAGCTATTCTATGTTACTATATAAAGGTTTAAAGATTTCCTGCACCATACATATTTACCACTATACTGATATCAATATTTTACAATACTTAGAAATTGACCAATCAGATTGTATTAATTTTCAAATAACCCAATTAGTCATTTAGCTTTTGAAATGACTCATGACCAGTTATTAGTCATTTGGGTCATTTGGGTCATTTCAGATCATTTACCATTCCTGCTATGCACTGCAGCCAGAGCCATATTTGATGGTGGAGTTCGTGGTTTCATGGGTTTCACTCAAGATGAATACGGCGATACTTATGTCATTAGTATTTTCACGGATGAACTCATAAATCCTCCATATCAATTTTACATTTCTGATTCATGTGAGAACGTTATTAGAAATATCACTAAATATTTGAATGTTGAATATGCTGATAATGGATCTAAACCTTTCAGTGCAAAGCTTAATAACTTTAACCTTGATTGTGATAAAAATGGAATTTTATTCACTAATTGCAATAGCCAATATCATTTAAAAAAGCGAGCTAATATTGTTGAGGTGGCGATTTATGATGATGGTAATAATTATGCTGAGGCACCCATTTCACCAATCTAAAATTTTAGCAAGATAAATCTTAAACGTAATATCTAATATCACTTTTTTTTTAATTTTTTATCAATAACATTCTTAATAACTGTGCTCAATTTCATATTCATATTTAAAATTAATTAAAATTTTTGTATACCTACCTATTGATACAAGAAATACCTTTTAATTCGATGTATTTATTATTAAATGATTCACTTTTGTTTCTAATTAAAATAATTGTTGAATTTTTTTTGTTAGTACTATTTTCTTTTCTTGAATAAATAGTTAATGTTAAAAATATTTACGGAAAATTTGTGAAGTTTTGTTATTAAATCCAGGTATATATTTTGATCACAAATTTAAATTTTAGTTGCGGGCGGGTTTGCCACCCAATTAGATATAGATAAAATATTATTATATGGGGGTGAGTCAATAGAAATGCACCAAATTTTTCTAAGTAAATTTTTTTAAGTTTTGAACAAAAATAACTTAACAATAACTTAATTAAATTTAATCAAAATTTTTTTAAAATAATTCTAATAACTTATAGAAATTATTTTAAAAAAAAAAATTTACAAGATTTGATCAAATTTTGTTGACAGGTAATAGTATGTGATTGGCTAGCCTCATAATTTTGATTAAAATTAATTGAATATAATTTTTACTGCTTTATAATTGAGAGTATTGTTTTCAATTAGTTTATTACAGTTTTTGAATTAGTGTGATTGTTGAATTTTATGAATCCTATGTATCTTGTATATTATCATTGTAAAAATAATACTAATACGCAAGATTCATAAGATCCATAAAATTATTAATCGACTAATTTAAAATAGCAATAATATGTATACTATTAATGTTTCGTCATCGTATATTACATGAATAATTTTATCATCATCGATCAGGTACTCAGTGAATACTTCTTGAGTGGTTTCAGTTTGAGACAAATAGATAAACAAATCAATAGTTGAATAACAAATAAATAAAAAATATTGTAAGAGAGCAAATGATATTGAAGAAATCCATTTTGAAATTAATTTTTGAAAAATGCGATTTTTTCGCACAGCTTAAAAGGTTCTTCGTAATTCTCGTGCATAATTGTAAGAAACTTGTTAATAATTCAAAAAAAAAAAAATAAATAGAGAAATTTTTTATATTTACTCGAGACCGATTTTTGCAAATGTGCATTATTGCGCAAAATTTTGGGGCTTAGCATGCGTATTGAAACATGTCTTTTCTTTGTTATCATAAAAAAAAACTTGTTTATTTAAAAAAAGAAAATTTTTTACACCTGATTTTTCGCAAATGTGCATTATCGCACCATTTTTGATTCAAGTAATTTGTGGTACAGTACAATACAATTAAGTGAATTACAACAGAGTTTATAAGTTTAAAATATTTAATTTTACATAATAAATTCAGCACTGATACAGTGGGTAACTTAATACTGTAATATCAAGCTGATAATTCTGATAAATTTAGTTGTTCAAAAAAAATAATTGTTAATATAAATTGTACTCTAAAACTTAGTTAATTATAGTTTTAGAGTACAATTTATATTAACAAATTTTTTATATATTGCATAAATAGAATAATAAAATTAATTATCGAGTTTGCTATAAAAGGGCTCTCTTAAACCAAAGTTAACTTTTCCTTATATTCATATTTAGTTTTTAAAAAATATATTTGTTCATTAATAACAAATCACATAAATTCGTTCAAAATCTTTTCTATCTAAAAAAATTCAAACTTACAGGCTTCACTAAAAATGCCTAAAAATAAAACTAGAAGCATCCATATATCCAGAAGTTCAAAAGGATTTAATATATCAATTGTTGGAGATATAAAGGCAGAGATCACATTACAAAATAATCTTATATGATCAAAAATTCGATCAAAAGCTAAATTTGCTACAATTATATTACAACATTCTAATAAAGAAATCAATTACTATATAACATTTGAACTCAATTATATAACATACAACAAAATTTCCAAGGTTTTAAAAGCTAAATACGGAAGGGGAGAAACAATTAAATCCTTAGTAACCAAACTAAATGAAAAAACAGTTACAAAAACATTTCTAAAATTTTCAAATTTTTAGTTGCACTTCATAATAGTTTTCTAAATAATTTTTATATTAATATTTTTTATTTTTATTTTCTTTTGATTGAATGCAGTATAAATAATATAATAATAAAGTATATATATATATTTTTTGTATAAGAAGTCGTAAATTTAAAATATGAATTTTTTTAATAATAAATTTTGCACCATTGTCTTCGTGAAATATTAGAACAATTGAGATTAATTCATTTTTGTTATCATGTAACAATAGTATATTTAATATAATTTTTAAAACCAGTTTTTATAATTAAAAGATATGTGATAGAATTAATATATATAATAAAAAGGAATATGAAAAAAAATCTTAAATAGCAAAAAATAATACGAATGAATTATATAAAAATATATAATATATTAAGGAGTATTAATTAGTTTAATATATTGTATTTAAAGATATCAAAATTCAAGAACGTTTTCGAATTTAATCCTATTTATGATATTCAAGAACGTTTACCAATCAGAATAACTATACAGGGTGAGTTTTCTCATATTTACTTACTTGTCGAGTTATTAGTATATCCAAAGTTATGCTGCCACATCGGTGCAATGAAATCTGATAGAGAATTGAAAGCGCATCAGGCCAACCATTTGGTTGAATATTCTCCTCTATCAGTTATTGATGTTCCTGTAGTACTGGCCCTGTCTGCGTTAGAGAGGACCTTTCTGTATTAAAATA